CCTGCCCGTCGCCTTTGGCTGCATCCTCTTCATCGTCGTGGGGCTCTTCCTCTGGAACCGCAAGGCCCGCCGCATCGAGCTCGGCAACATCATGAGCCGCTCCCGCCACGGCTACAGCGGCCGCAAGACCCGCCGCAACAACATCTTCCGCTCCCGCAAGGACGCGGGCAGCATCCAGCTGCACAATGCCGACGACCACCTCGCCGACGAGTATCACGACGCGCCCCGCCCCAACAACCGCCGTGACAGCGAGGCTCTGGGCAGTCTGGCCGGCACGCCTATTCATGAGAACTTTGAGCACCAGAACACTACGGGCTCTAGGAATGCGTTCCGGGATGAGATGGCGAGACAGAACCAGGAGAGACACGGAGGATACTAAAAATAAAAAAATAAGGAGAGGAACGACGTGTGAAACGTGATACTTTGTGATCCTGGCGGTCATGAGGATGTGATTGATACAATACATGAATCTATGAAGCATAACGTTGGATTGCATGTGTTACTTAGATAATTACCCTACGTGGATGGATTTCATTACGAAACTAATGCATCAACGAAGAAAGAGGAGACGATAATAGAAGTAGAAGATGAACAAGGACATGTAGACGAAAATATATGAATACATCATCTTGAATTAAGCACTTTTTGCCATGCTCATCTCCTAGTATATCATCCTAGTTCAAGATATGCTGCTCAAAAAAGAACAAATGGTATTTCAAAACAAGAAAAAAAAAGAGAACCGTAGCTCTCCCACTAAATTCAACGCCAAACCATCCATCTCTATGTCCATTCCAGAGAAACTCAAACTCCACCACCCAACCCAACGCTGTATTTCCCAAATGCCATGTCCCGAATTACTCCTTAAATTAACCCATTGCCTTGCTTCCAGCTTCTCCCTTTTCCACCCCAGAAAAATACCCCTTTGCTTTTTTTTCATTGCCACGTCATATCCGTGAATAAAAGACCTAAATGAGGAAAGAATATAAGAGCCCGGCACCTCCTCAGAAGAGGCTGTCATCGTCAACCCCCTTAAATCGTCTGCGCATTGAATAGAAAACAGACTTTTACTCGAACCTAGGGAATTTGGCAATGATCTCGTCCGAAATAGCACTCTCCATTGGCCGTTTGAGCGTGTGGCTGGACTGCATATCCAGTGACGCAGACCCGTTCGATGGTGCGTCTCCCACGGGCTGCTGAGGCAGTTGCTTTTGGCCGCCACCGACTTCGTTATAGCCAGCACACAGATCCAGCCTGTCCTCTCCCTCTCGCAGTGGTCGCATATACTCGGCCGGTATCGCCGTTACCAATTGGCAACTCAACTCGCATGGTTGATAAGTGTCCGCTGTCCAGTCGGGATCTGCATAGTTCTTGGCCTCAGCCAAGGTGTATCCCGTGCTGAATCCTTCGTGATACGCATCCGGCAGAATGACAATCGTCTCTCCCGGCCGTTGGTCCACGATTCGATATGGTATGCCCATTTTCTTGAGCTTCTCGGGGAAGAAAAACTCGGCTCTGTGGCGCATAAACTGCGAGCACTTTCCTTTCCTATTCAACGCCTCCTCAGCAATATCGACAGCAGTGGAGGGAACCACAATCCATATTTTGCGGCCCTTGTATAAATGATTCAGAGACGACAAGCGAAAGTCTTCGGCGTGGAGCTGGAACGTTGCGCCAAAGTGCTGGGCGGATTCGTACACGTAGGGCGTGTGTATTCCCGGAATAATGGCCTTCGTTCTGTCTAATTGATCGCCTGCCAATGGATGAATGGGGCTTCGCTCTGGCACTCCAGCTTCCCGTCTCTGCTTGGCAGTCCACGCGGGGACGTCGACTCGGTATCGCACATTCCGCATCTGCCTATCCTTGCTCTTATTGAAGAGCGTCTTGAGCTTTTTGAATTTCTCCTCCACACTACCCGACAGCTCGCCATCCGGCTCCGAAGAGGAAAAGGAGCCATCGCTCGGTACAGTGCTGACCTGCCAAAATGTCCTGTGGTTGATCTGCTTTATTCTGTAGGCATTGGCGGGTGCAAACTGTGATGTTTTCTCTGGGAGTGGCTCTTGGAGTTCTTCCGGGAGCACGATTTTGAAGCATCCGTCAAGCTCGGCGTGAAGGCTTCGGGCAAAAGAGAGAAGGCCAGGGAAATCAGCCCACTGCTCGGGTGTCGGTCGGATATGCAGCACTTGATGGCCAACGGGGCCGTCATACGAGTATGCGATTCCGTGCGTGTCTGGCTCGCTCAGAGGCGAACTGGCCCGACTGCTTCTTGTGGTTGGAGAGCTGTAGACCTCCGAAGAGCTGCAAAACCTGACCAAATCAACTTCATCTTCGGGTAGAAGCTCTGGCATCGGCAGTGGAGAAGGGCATTCAATCGCCTTTGGGTTCTCGTCTGGCAACTGCGAAGCCACAGCCTGCGCTGGCTCTTCCACGGCATCTGATGTTGGAGCACGCATTTCCTCCAGGGTTAGGGTTGCAGCCATTGTTGCTCCAGGTGCGTAGTTTTTCGATGCGAGGCTGTCGGTGGACGTCGGAAACTGCTCTTGCGCAGCCTCTGTTGGTTGAGCGACGGGCTCGGTATTTGAACCATCGCCTTGCGGTGGACACTCGTCTGCCACATCTTGAGCAGCCCGCTCGACGCCCCTCTCAGGAGGCGCACATGACGACGACGCAGGAGAATGCAGAGGGGCATCCATCAGCATCTGCGCAGGGCTCTCGTCCAGGCGGCCTTTGGCGCCTACAGACTGCTCGTTGGTCGTGTAAATGGTCTCGCAGCGAGGCTCTGCCTCCATCGCACGGCGCAAAGTACCCACAGCCGAACCCTGCAGCGACTTGGATGTGTGAGTGGCCAGGATATAAGGCGGGCGGCAGGGTTTCTCGGGGACTCCGACGGAAGACGGCTACAGACGTAAAGAGAAGAAAAAAACTCGCCGTGTAAAGGGCTTCGGGGTCGGCCAGGAATGCAGAGGCTGGATGAAACGTGCTGTTGGTTGTGCTGCTCGCTCAGCTTGCCGAAAACAAACCACAGCACAGCAATGGAGAATAGTAGGATCAAATGCTGTCTGTCCGAGCCAGGCTGAAACAGTTCCGCCCTCAGACGAGGTTTCCGCCCCACGAGATGCGGCTAGCTGCGTCCAACAAACACGCCGCAGGGAATCCAATCGAAAGCAGAGGAGATGGACGTCGCTTTGGAGTCTGCCTCGTCGTTTGGAGGGAGAGAAAAATGCCAAAAAAAGGGGGTGGAGGAAGAACGAGACGAATAAGTCAAAGGGCGTGATGTCTCTCCGAAGGACGTCGGAATAAAAGACGTTCCTTTAGTAGGTAGGAATTTGTAGAAGGGCAAGTCGAAGAGTCAGTGAAAAAGATCAAAGAAAGCCCCCCAAGCAATGGAATCAAGTCGCAAAATTTTCCAACTTCACACGCAACGACTAAGGTAGGCAGGTACCAGCTACCACGCTGACGTCGAGGAGCAAGCGGGAAATCCGGGCCGGCCAAGGGTATCGGTTACATAGGAGAGAAATAAATTGGGGGGAAAGAGAGTTTGAGCACCAACAACGCCCGTGGGGAAAAGAAGAAGAAAAAAAGACTCGGAAGCAGGTTGGCAGGTAGTAAAAAAATAAAAGGTGGTGGCAATGGCTCTTTGGGGGCGTTTTCATTTTTGCCGACGGTGGTTAGAAAGGGTACCTGCGTTCACTTGCCAGAGCTGCCTCTCCTGGATGTACCTGCGTCGGCATTGCTGGCGAACTTGACTCTTCCTTGGGGGAAGCCCGGAAGGTTGGGGAAATGACTCTGGAGAAAGTTGGCCATGGGAAACCGTGACCGTATCAGCAGCCGCAAAGCTGGTTCACGAGACGGAAATTCATTGTCACACAAGAAAAAAGCAAATGTACGTACATACTCTGTAAGGCATACAGTAGCGCAAAATCCTGCACATCAGCAGAGGCCGAATCCGGCAACTCATCTTTGCCAATCCGTTCACCAACACACCCCAATGAGGCCTAGCTGTTGCTTTGTATGCTTTTGTGCTGCTCACATTTTTTTTGCTGCCCTTTGATCTTTTTTTGCTTGTTTAGTGGACGCGCCATCACATCGAGCCAATGTCTGGTTGCGTCCCAGTCCCGTCCTCAATCCCACCGGAGCGGGAAACAGGGATTAGTTGCCCTTCTGGGATGAGATCCCGTTCTCGTGACGCGGGGGATCCGTTCCAGGGGTTCTGGCGAGTCCATTGGAAGGTGAACTGAACTGAACCCGTGCTACATGATCCGGGCACTGCATTAATGGCTGTACAGACGCAAGAGTAGATGATCCATGGAATTTCATCAACTTGGCTGGACCTTTTACTGTTTTATCTTGTAGTCAGCAGCGGCCCTGAAATGAACTGCTTATACTTACACGTACCTATCACAAAGGACAATTGCTTCCTTTATCGACGATATACATACTACTAGTGGAAACATGACCAAGAGAGGCAAAAACATTATCAGGAGGGGGAAAAAACACAGCTTTCAATTCGTCGTGGTATTTACTCCTTCTCTCTGTATACAGGCCAGAAAACCTAATCCACTCCCATCGCACAAAACAATATTCTTTCCAGCCCCCCCAACCTTGCTCGGCGATGCTTTCATCTTCTTATATCGCAAAAAACAACCGGCACATTTCTCCTGACTGCATAACTTCGTCAGGGCATTTCTTTCCCGCAACCCCGGTAAGCCTGGCAAACAAAGCCATTCCATATCATGTGGAATAAAAAGGAAACAACAAACAAAGCTTTGCTGTCAAGAAACATATACACAAGGGGTATTGAGGCTCCTCCCATCCCCCCCAGAAAGGAAGAAAAAGAACACGGGGAGGAGTGACGCCAAGATCGAAAAAAAAGAAGCATCTAGTAAAACACCATTGGGGAGAACTCGCCCATGATCCTTGAAATTTGAAGGCACCCTTCCTGTCTCTCCTCCACAAAAAAAGCCATGTATTTTGAATTAATGATTAATGACAGCTCGTCAACCTCATGAAAAATCATCTGCTTCTTGTGACGCCGCTGCAAGCTCCTCCACAGTCTCAACAAGTTCCATGGCTTCCCGAGCAATCTCAAAAGCAATTGGTGGCAGTGTCTGGGTCCAAGATTTCCATTCCTTTTCTTCGACTTCCGAATCCGCCAAGTCCTGGCCTCGACGGTTGGCTTCGACAAGGCTGTCTCGGCCATCGCTTAGGCGAACTACTAGGTTGCCACGACCGTATTTCTGGGCTTCCGAGACAATGCGACTCACGATGCCGCTGACAGAGCCAACGTGCGTAGAGATTTGGCGGATATCGCCATCTGCGCGGGCACAGTTGACCACGTTATGGATGTCGGGTATTAACAGGGCGTTTTGATCTTCAAGGTACGTCTGGGCCATCGTCAGTCATCCTGTGGGTCGTATTTTTTTTTGTTTTTGGTTTGCTTTGCTTTTGCAAAACTAGGCGTCGCCCTAAGCCCGTACCTTCAGACCTTCGATTTGGCCGTCGTGATGCTCCTCGCCGTGTCCGTTGTTTGCATACGCATCCATGGATGTCCGCGGAGAGTTGACGGGGCTATAGGCCGAAGATTCGATGCTCGCCCTGATGTTGGCAAGGGTTTTGAAAGCAGGAGCTGGAGGTAGGCCCTCGTGAGTCGTCGACCCTCGAGCAACGCTGCGCGGGGAGAAGAAGCCACTGGAGTCGATGGGTGTTGCGTTTCCGTCCTCGTCATCCTCCAGCTCTTCAGCAGGTGTTGGTCGGATTTTGGCAACTCGGAGAATCTCAACAATGGCGACTGTGAGATGTGACGCCGCTGCATCAACAAGGGAGATTGGTGTAATGCCAGAGCTTGCGGCAAAGCTCTTGGAGACGGTAATCAAGTGGTTCGCGGTGGCGGAAATCCGAGCCCGGAGCTTTCCCTGTTGCTGCTGAGCTGCCTCATTTCCACGGGGCGCGGACTCGTCCAAGTCTCTCGTAATTCGTCGGACGCTGACTACGACCCCTTTCATGGCATCAATGACGTTTTCCGGATGATCATCGCGGACCTTTTGCAAGAGTTCGTCGATGGCCATTTGGTATTTGGTAACGTGGACATCCCTGACTCGCCCATTCTCGTCCAGTAGAGTATTGTCGCTCGGCAGCTTGATGGAATCTCCATCCACGCTGAATCCGGCGGAAGAACCTCGCAGGCTCCTGATCTGAGTCTTGGTTTTTGCGTAGCGCTCTCTCCAGTCTCGAACCTCATTCTCGAGCTGCTCGATAGTCTTCTCAAGCGCCGCCTGTTTCTCGTATGTGGAACCGCTTTGCAGGGAAAGCTGCCGCATCTCGCGCAGAAACTCCTGGGCTTCAGCTCGCGCTTCTTCCGTCACTTGTTGCTGTTGCTGGAGAGAGTGGCGCAGTTCGTCATTTTCTCGCTGCAGATCCTCGTTTACACTGGTAGAAGACATCATGCCAACGCTTTGTCGAACTTGTTCCCGAAGTTGTTTGGTCTCTTGCTCATGTTCTTCGCGCACGCGCTCCAGCTCTTGCTTGAGCGAGATGCTGAGCTTTTCTGCCTCTGTCAGTTTTCCTTCGAGGTCTGAGCGGGCCTGTTCCTCTTCATCCTTTGCCGCAGCCTGTGACTGGTGGTTATCGCGCAAAGTGTTCATTTCCTCTTCCTTTTTCTTGATTTCTTCTTCCATGCTCGAGATCTTGGTATTCAAATCCTTCACTTGCGCCTCGTATTCCTCGATAATCTTCTTTTCTGCCTGATATGAGTTAGAAATCTAGACCATGGACCACATCATTACAAGTTGAATCATAAAAGAAGAAACTCACTTCTCCATTATCGGGGCCATCTGCGGCTCCGTATGCGTCTGTACCATCGTCGTCTTCCTCTATCATTGTACTCTTATTGGGAACAATGGTGTTGTTCTGTGTGGGGTGTCGCGGCATTGGTCGAGCGTAGTTGCCATTGGGAATGCTGGGCGATGGAGGCACACCATATGGGTCGATGGGCGGTGGTCCTCTGATCGAGCTGGCATTGGACGGCCTTCGCATGCGACTCTGTGATCTGGGTGGGTATTCGCCGCTGACGGGAGTCCCTGTGCGATTCATCGGGCCGCCTCTATTGGACATGGAGCTTCCACCGCGTGGGATGTCGTTGCCCACGAAATGCGGGAATCTGCGCTCCAGCTCGTGGAACACATCGGCGGCCAGATCTCGAAATCGAGGAGGCCCCAGTGACGACAGCCTCTGACGGGCTTGGTTTCGCTTGGGGTGGAACGTCTTCTCCGGCAGCAGAAAGGACGGCGGCACGTTGGGCGCATTTGGCGGAATGCGCGCTGCGGCCTGGCGGCGCACCAATTCGTCGTAGACATCGGTACTCAACTCGAAGAATTGGACGGGGGAAAGTCGTAGCAGCTTGTCGCGGGCCTTGTTGGGCTGCGGCTTGGCGTTTGGGTCGCGCGAGGTGAGGAAAACCCTCAGGGCAACGTAATGCTCCGAGAGGACGCCCTCGTCGAGGTTGGCGGCGGTTGGCGACTCGCCCCCGGCCTCGCTCCTGGCGTACATGTTCATGCCATTGCTGGATCGGCCGACAGACGGCGGCGGGGACGGGCCCCCCGTGTTTGTAGGCCCCGGAGGAAAGCCATTCATGCTCATGGTTCCCGAGGAGCCTCCAGAGGTGGGAGGCGAGACGAGGTTTCCGCGGTTGGGAAAGGATCCGTCGTCGTTGGCCTGGTACCGGGAGAAGGACCACTCGCTGCCGCCTACAGAAACTGGAGACAGCGGCGCATTGCGATCGCTGATGGTGCTCATGGTGGGAGGGAAAACAAAAGCAGAAGCAGGAGGGAATGGAAAGCGGCTAGCTCAGACGCCACGAGATGGGAGGCTTTTGGAGGTTTGCGCCCGTGCCTGACAGTGCGTGTGTGCAAGTGCTCGTAGAGAGACGCCACTCGGAACCAGTCCAAAAGCGCCTGTCGCGGTGCTAAAATGCCGTTCCCCACAGTGTGGCACCCCTAGTCGTAGTACTGAACAAGACGATGTGACTGCTATCCAGTAGCAGTGCAGTGCTGGCACGATTCTTGATTCGTCGTTGGCGTTGGGAGGCTCGAAACTGGATCAGCCGCGAGAAAGCGTGGTGAGATGGTGATCAATGCTAGTAGCTGAGTTGAGAACTGGAGTGGACTGGAGTGGACTGGAAAGCAGCCGGCGAGGTCGCTAGAAGGGCGTTTGGGCCAACTGGTGCACCGGCAGTTTTTGAGAGCTGCAGGCCTCTCTCTCTGTGGACGAGTCCTCAGGACTTGCAGGTCAATACAGGTATGTATGTAGTATACCGACGAGTCCAGGTAGCACAGTACGAGTGCGTGTATACAGATACCTACTAGGTAGAAATGCCGGACCTCGCAGGTAGTATCGAAACAACGCCCGACTCAAACTCCGTAAACCTGGCAAAGCAGCTTGTATCAAGGACGGACGAGCGTGGCGTGAGGCCGCAGAAGGAAGGCAAAATTGGCGACGGCGCTTGAAACGGCAATGCGAGCACAGGCAGGGATGCGCCAGCTCGAATCGAAAGGGCTGATTGTCCACACACGTCCGGGGGTGTCTCAAAAGGGGGGGGCTTTGGAGGTTTGCTGGAGAGATCTGGCGCAGGCGGAAATGAGCTGCTATGCCCTTGTTGGCAAATAAGAGTCGAGTGCAATTTCTCCCAGACGGCCCCGTACGAAGTACAAGTTAGGAAGGGAAACAGAGTAACAGGAGCTTGCTTGGCAAGGGGGGGGGGGGGGGGGGGAGCCAAAGTGTTCAGTTGCTGCAGACTATAGTAGAGAAGGGTTGGGAACGAGAAGAGAGAGACAGCAGAGACAATACGATACTCTAAGAGTTGAGGCGACCAGGGTCGGTGGGAGAGGAAGAGAAGCGGGCAGAAGGTGAAGAGAGAAGAGACTTGGAGACGCTGACGCGACTGCAGAGATCGATCGGCGGACAGCAATAAAATGGGCCAGCAGGTATTGAGAAGGTCCATGCACTGCTATACCATGGACCACAGGCATACGGAGCTAGGTAGTTACAGGGCATCTCGCTACAGCCAGGCGGCTTGGTTCATTTGATGCCCATCTGGTGTGGTCTTGTCTTCAGTGGCTGTTGGACCCAAGAGCTGACGGCTTTCTGGCTGCTTCGGCTGATGCTGCCATCGTGACTGGCTGTCCGCTGGGCCATGAGAATAGCCTCTCTCCACCGACCCCAACCGTCGGTGTGCAGGTCATGGATGATTTAGCAGGTCGTAGCACTTGTGCAGAGGTGGAGACAATCCTACCTAGCAAGAGACGCGGTATTATCACGACTTCAATCCTACCAGATGTAACCTTGCGTAGGTAGTCCACGGCACTATTCACATCAATGGATTTCAAAGTCCATATTCATTGGTAGGCAATCTATTGCTTCCATGTGCACTTTTTACATAGCCTGGATTAACACGCCCTGCCAATGGCAATGCAAATGCCCGGACGCGAGTCTTTCGCCTTGCCTCGCCTCTCGCCTCATCCTCATGGCGCCAACGCCATTTTGCGTAGCGTTCGGCTAGAGCTGGGGGAGTGGACTTTGTTCCCCTGAATTGCGGTCTCGCCGGGTTCTGATTTGCTCTGCAATCGCTGGCGCCACAGCTGGATCGGGGGGGCTTGGTGGTCTTTGATTGATTGTCACTTTATGATCCAGGAACGAGGCCTCCATAATCATAATGCCTGTCCTCAAGAGACAATTGCAAGTGTACAGTATGTGTGTAAGCGTAGTACATGTTGAGATCAATCAAACTACTACTCCGTACAGAGCCATCATCTATTGGACAGAACAACAAATGCGGACTACCGGAGCAATTCTGCTGACTCTCTGAAATTGAACAGCCCTTGTGTCTTCCCGTGGATGACGAGCATACGCACTCAAACCGCCCCAGTCTTCATCTTGGATACTGCTTCACGGCCCCGGGGATCCTCCCACCAGGGGGGTCTTGCGTTCACCAGAATCCGATACAGCACAGCCAGATTCCGGTGACTATTAACCGTGCCCTGGAAAAGCACCGTGCTCATAGAGGATCCGTGCCGCGCGTAGTCTTCACCTTCCATGTAGAAAACGTGATTCAAATGCTCGGGGAGTGACATACAGCGAGCCTCAACATTTGCATCAATGCGTTATGGGATTCTCGGAGTAATATAAGTTGGTGCTACGTAGTACGCAACCAATTCCACAAAACCCGCATCTAATCATATCGAAGCAGCCTGAACTCCGTAGATTAAGAAGCATCCTTGCTCACACCCATGGCCTTGGTCTAATAACAGTTGTCCGTTTCCAGTGCTAGTGCTCCGCCTGCTGCGACTCTGTAATGAGTGACCAAATCTTACTCTCCCCGCACAACAGGCACATTCATACTGCGCGATAGTGCGACAGTGACGCTATGTTCTAATGTCGGAGCCCTCTTGGCTCCGTACAAGTGAAAGCATGCGTGGACGGATGCCGACAGAGCTCATTCGTCCGGGGACGCTGTCTGAGACACGACACGAATCTTCCCAGTATTGCCGTGAATAACTTTGCGCGACTTGGACGTCTATATCGGGCCCGAGTAAGGCCATTTGCCCTATGGTGGTGAAGTACTTTTTGAAATCTGTAAGGTGAACCGAACAAGAAAACTGCGCTCAAGTGTGTTATTCATTCCTTCAATTATAGTCAAGGTTTGGATGGCAGAATCCGGCTCTCTGTCCACTCGGAAGCCTCCCGAAACCAACAAAGATCTGAAAAGTCTCTCGCTCTTCCAATCATCAGCTAATCCCGTTCTTGTCAAGAGCCAATCTGGAAATCTGCCACTCGAGATCTTGCATTGGAACGAGTCGATTGGCAGATCCGGTTGCCGGCCACCCAACAGGAACTGCAAGCCACTCGGGCTAGACGCGGGTTGGTGCATATACGAGGATCAACGCCACATTTTCTCGCCGTCGGCCATTTCGCAAAACAAAACAGAAAAGCTTAGCGTTGCCTTTGTTTTCACCTGGGTGTTTCATTGGACATGTATGTGTCCGGTTGAGCAGATGAAGAGAATAGTTGGTCAATAATGCGAATAAAAACCAGCTGTTTATTAGAGAATTTAACGCCATAGAGTCATAAATGAGTTGCAGGTTGAACACCCTGCCCGGCCGGTGTCTTCTCGATCTGATATCCTGAGGCAGTTCTCCTACGGAACAAACAACAATGAAGCAGTTACTTTCTGCTATATCACCAAAACGCCACGCCAAATCCAAGACGACTTTCATCGTCATGAGCAACATACATGGTCAAAAAAACACGCAACGCTAAATATCCCATCTTCGCTTAGAACCACGCCAGAGTCCAGGTCGAGGGGAGATTGGGCCAGCGTTCCTGCCAGGCGCCAATAATCTCGGGCACTCGCTCGTCGAAGCTGGCGCGAGCAGCCGCACTTCCACTGTCAAAGGCCGCCGGCCCCACGGCACCTCGTTCTTCGGCGGCAGCGGCATTGAGAGAGTTGGCGAGATCAAGGATGCCCTGCCCGCCGATATGGGCTTCCTCGTGGTTATCTTTGATTTCAATGTTGATCACGTGGACCGGCCGGTTTAATGGCGAGCCGCGATTGAGGAGATCGTCAATGACGGCATCCCAGCATCGCTCCTCACAGGTAAAAACTACGTCGACAACGCCGCCTTCGGTGCCCTCGCTGCCTCTATCACTAGTATGCTGCAACCTGGGCACCCCGACGGGCCAGTCTTGCCAGCGCTCGGGGCCCCATTTCACGCCTCGATTTCTTCCCAGCATGTTCAATATACCATTGTTGCGGTATAGCCTAGGATCTTTGGCCTCCAGCTCCTTGTACATGCTATCGTAAGATGTCTTGTTAAACTGATACACGTTCGGCTGGGTGATGGTCGGGCCCGGTAGCCGCACGAGAGAGCCCGTGCCAAAGGATATCACAGGATAGTTGGCTTGGGAGAGTCGGAGATGAGCTTCCATGGATCTTGGTTTAAATTTAGCAAGACGGTAATATGGGCCCCTCGCATGGTAAGACGAACCTGTTGTTGTTACTGGCGCAAACAGTGCAGAATTTGAGCTTGTAGTCCCCATTCTCAGTTGGCGACCCGTTCTGGGCCGCTGCTGTACCGTTGGCAGTCTCCATGTTGGGCAATTATCCAGGAGAGGTGGTAACGCGAGTGCTCCCAGACAACAGATGTTGCATTATTCAAGCTCCAGGCGGTGAGTTGAGTGAACCTGTACCTGATCAAACAGCGTCAGCAATCGATCAAAAACCTTGACAGGCATTACATTGGACGGGGTGTGTCTCTTCATCAGCTAGAATCGTATATTAAGTAAATTAAAAATTTTCATCAGAGCATAATAGCTCAGACAGCTCCAATAAAAGATTCATCATGGAAGAGGGGAGAAAGAAGGGCATTCAAGTTTCCTACCTTTGGATAAAGCGTCACAGGTACCTGGCTGCACGCATCAAGTAGTAGCCATTGACCAATGCAAGCTGTGCGCGGCGCTGGGGCTCGTCAATTTCGCTCAAGCTGAAGTAATATTGAGGCTCTCGCCAAAGCGTGGAGGTGGAAGGGAAAAGCTCGAGGGTGGAGCTATACGCGAGGAACGGATAAACATCGGGTAAGAATCCAAAAGCAAGTCAGGCGTGGATTAGGTAATACGGCCATGTTCTACGAGTACGTACCTAGTACCTACCTTAGGGTACTTTGAGCTGCTCCAAGCCTCAAGATTTTAGCGCCTTGGCCTGTGCCTGTACCATTCAAGGACCACTACAAGTTTCAGATATAGCAAAGTCTCCGATAAGATTCCCAGCAGCCTCCACGGAGCTCGGAACAACAATGAGGTACTCCGTATGTCGGCGCCGAAGTACAAACTCGGAGTATAGAAGCTCGCGCCTCTTTCAACATTGAGTGATTCCAAGTACTCCGTACTCGTAGATGCACGAAATCTTTGGCTTGAATGGCATCCATTGGATGCCCATGAAATTTGGTTCGTTCGGGCGGCTACCCCACGGCAGCCCGTTACAGCCCTTTGATTGGCCCGCAGGCACGCGCATAACCTGAAACAAACGACGCCTGCATGTCCTCCAATCAGCGCCTAGCCTTGACAAAACCCTGTCTCTCGCCAGCGTCCAAAAATAGAAGCATCTTCTCATGTTCTCATGTTGCTATTAAAAGGCAGCATTTTGCCCAGAAGACTTGATGGGAAATGAGACTTGGTTGTGTTATGATGTCTTGCGTCGTTGTATCTCGAGCTTGAGCTTCTAGGATTATCATTACCTTCCGGCTTATTCATTTTATTTTAATCTATTCTCTTGTCCAGTCTTGGCAAGAGATCACGCATCATGCATCTGTTCTGCGTACGCGCTAGCCACATGCATGTGATGGCATCGTGGATCCTGGTGAAGCAATAACACGTACTCGTAGCGCTTTTGTACTTGTGTAGTACCGTTCATATGCGGACACGGTATTCAAGTATTCTCTCATGTCTCTCGCCCTGTTCTGAGCGACAGTCTCTAGCACAACCTCAGGCGCATCTTGTTCGCCTCGAATCAAGTGCCGTGTTCCGTCAACTTCATGACATCGTACGGAGTACAAGCAGCCCATGCCGATTTTCCCTCGGCCAGCGAGCGCTGCAGAACTTGAGACGGGAAATCCGCCCGAGCTAACACTCTGACGGAAACGAAATTGCCTCTGATCCTAACTCTGCTCGTATGAACCTGGGCCATGTTGGGGTTCAGAGCCCCCATGTGGGGTCATGGTTGCAAACCCAGGCTCGCGGTTTGCACGGCTTTGGCTGTGATCCGTTATGCCTCGAGAATAAGGTATTGATTCAATGCCGGCACAGTGATATGTGCTGGCAGCAGAGAAGTACTCCGTAAATGCTGGTTCTGGTACCTATCTCATGCGAAGAAAGTATAGGTACTCCGTACAAGCACCTTAATATTGCTTCGTCCACCAGGTAGGACTCGCGCGGCTAGACGGGGTAGTATGGATTACAAAGTAGTTGGTCCTGCATAATGATGAACTGATTTCGCATTTCTCTTCCGTGGGATGGCTTAATCTAACTGAAATACCTCATCGAAACACGATTGCCTTGTCTCGGGAGAGTATTGGAAGATATATGCGAGAGCTAGAGCCCCCCGTTTGGGTACCAGACACAACCTATAACAGAGGCAGTACACAAATCAGCCTCGACATACGCCAAGCAGCTGCTGTGAGGCGTTCGAGTACGGTATGAAAATCCATGTACAGGATAATCCGTAATGGCTCTTACTCACTGCATACCTATTATTAAAACCAACCAGAGATAACACTCCCTCACGCGTGAGTCTCGTCTTTCATCCTCGTCCTCGTCACCCCGCCTCCTGCAGCCAGCCAACGTCGACTTAGACCTGAGACGGAGTATTACCTGCATGAAAGCACGCCGCCATAATACGAGTACAGCGCAACAAGCCATATCCAACTCTTCTTGCCGCTCATTCAATCTGGCGCTACCGGGTCCATCTACCTCAGCCAGCCCGTCAGCCGCTCGGACAAGCACCAGACGTCGATATACACATCAATATTCTTTGTAGGGAGCATCCGTTGGAAGCCATTGGATCCGTCTCCAGGCGCTGACTCGCTGGCTATTTGCAGCTCGGCCAGTAGAATTAGGGCGCGACGCGCTGGCTCCAGGCCCTCCCATCGAATTGCATCAACCAACAGGCCGGCCTTTGACAGCGGTTCGCCACTAACAGACGCCAGTACTTGTACACTGAAGCTGCTCCATTCTACCACTGGACTGGACAACTACTATACCTAAACTTGCATGCATCTTTGGGGGACAGCCTCGTCGTCTCCCGCACTCCCGCCATCCTCTCGCATTTTGAATCTCGATCAAGAACCTCCAGCGTCCAAACCCCAAACCCGCAGCGCAGGGGGTCACCGTTGCTCAGAGCCAGCATCCCATCCCTCCAGAATCACCGCTAGCCTCCCTCGAGCCTCTTCTGCAACAAACCCTGCCCTGACACACTGGCGACCGCTTGTCTCAGATTAGGGTTTTCTGAGTCTCCCACCTCCCCTCCGCAAGGCCGATCTCTCTGACCTGACCGAAACTCACACTGCCTGCGCTGCTATACTGTATCAGAAGCAAACCGACGCTCCCCCCAGACATCGCCAACCTCGAGCCGGTCGACGTGCGCTGGAACAACCTGGATAGAGGCGTGCTAGCCTGCCGGCGGCTGAAGTTGGCTTATTCACGAGCCGAGGCGTGGAGCTGGCGAGTGCCGTCAACCTGCGCTGAATTGTCCCAATCTGGCAGCATCAACATCACAAGTTAGACCGATCTGGGAGGGATGACCGCGACCGCAACAATGTCGATGAACTCGCCTCCAGCAGCAGCGTCCCCGGTGGACGTGTCGGACTCGATCGACTCTGGCCCTGCCCCTCTGACTTCGACCTCGAACTCGACCTCGAACCGCCACAGCACATTGTCCCGCCCGCTTTCCTATGCGTCCAAGAACAGACTGTCGCAATACTCGATTGCCGGATCGCTCCCCACCCGATCGCGGCCTCAGTCGCACGTGTTCCCCATGTTCCCCTCGAGCCTGGCGTACACGCTGGTGCGCGACTTCGCATATCCCGTCATGCACCCGATGCATTACGGCCCGCCGCCTGAGCCTTCTGGCCCGCCGTCCGGCCTGACGACGCCAATGAGCGAGAGCAGGAGGCTTTCCGAGCCGTCGGTCTCGTGGGACCAAAAGATGCCGTGGGATTCATGGACTCCGGACCCCTTCAGCCGGGCCCACGATCTACCGCCGATCCAATTTGGCGACGGCCCTCCATACAGCGAAGATGAAGACTTACAGAGCCCAGTGGTTTCCACGAGGCATCGAAAGCACAAGTCGACTTCAGCTACTCTCCATACTGGTAGGGGGCGCACTGGTCGCGATCCCGACAGGGGCCAGTCTGCAATCATTAGCTCCAGCTATGATGACAGCCAGAGCTACTACTTGGGCATTGGCGGAGATGGAAGTGAGCGGTACTACGTGAGCCGCGGAGGCGAAGCGAACGGACCCGGCGGTGAAGTGGTCACCTATCCGCCCGATCAGGCGCATCATAGCCATGCATACCAGTATTCGCAACGGCATGATATCGATGGCTACGATTCGGATCACTCGAGCAGCTCATCCTCGCCAGGGGGGCCTGAAGGAGATCAGTCGCGTTATTCGCGAGACTATCAGTTCACAATCACATCTCCCGACGAAGAGTTCCATGGTAAGGCCGTGGCTTTGTTCGATTTTGAGCGAGAGAATGAGAACGAGTTACCATTGGTGGAAGGCCAAATCATTTGGGTGTCATATCGCCACGGCCAGGGCTGGTTGGTCGCTGAGGATCCAAAGACGCAAGAAAGCGGCTTGGTTCCCGAAGAATACGTTCGACTACTCCGGGACATTGAAGGAGGCATGAACAGCCTGACTGGGGCCCTCGTCGATCCATCTGGGTCCCCCAGTGATGCCGTCACTCCTACCCAGACGGAGAGTGGCAGCCAGTACGGCCACACTCCCACTCATAGCACTTCAACCAACGGATATCACCAACCGGTGGTGTCCATGTTTTCAACCTCGAGCAAGGACCTCAACCCGTATCCCACGGAGCAGCTTGGCATCCAAGCCGGCCAAGCCCCGCCTCAAGTTGTTCACTATCATGGGCAGAGAGGAGGAAGCCAAATCAGCACACCAACATTAACCCAACTTCAAGAGTCTGAAGCGCAAAGAAGAGCAAGCCAGGACGCGGGAAGCAAAGCCGAAGAAGATTCAACCACGGCGCAAGAAGAGCCCACCACGAAGTCTACGGATACACAGGCGTTGAATGAGACAGCAGAGACGGAGCGGTGATGAACAATCTATGGGACCGGAATTCAACCCTCAAGCCGGATTTACAACATTGATTCTCTAATTTTTTTTCATGTATTTTGATCGTGAAAGAGAAATAAAGGACATGGGACGTGTTAGAGCAACCCACGCATGAAATCGGATATACATACACCAACTTGAAAAGCGGCATAGCATTGGCAGAGAAGCTGCCAATCTGATCCTCGCTTGCGATGGCTGCCGTACTGGATTTACAAGGGGAGACCTGGTGTATCTTGGATGGTCGAAAACAAAAAAGTAAAGAAGACAACAGAGGAAGGGCATCTTTTCTCTTTTACGGGTGGGAAGAGACTCGCGAGCTAGTCTCTGGTTATTACAGGTAAGGATCAACCGAAGCGGGAAAAGAGAGAGCGATTTGGAGCAACGCGATGATTTGGATGATAATTCCTATGACTCCAGGGGGCAGGGCATCGTTTTGTATTTTTGGCTGGGCCTGGCTTGGCTCAGCTTCCATGATGGATGGATGTTTTATAACACCGCGAGTGAATTGCAAGGGACCGGATTGAGTTGTTAGATGTAATAAAACAAAAACTATTTGTCCTAAAGGAATCGTTTAGGAGTGGCTTTGTATTTTCTGCTTGAGTGATGATGTAGTGTTCATACTCCTAAGCTTGGGAGCATCTTACCCTGGAGACAGCGAGGAGAGATTCGGAGACCATCAACGAGAGCTTCTGTAATGGTGACAATGGCCATATCGATGGAATTACGGAGGTGGGCGACCTCTTAAAGCTCAACGCAGATAAATACGGGAAGCAACTCCTCGCTGCGCTATATTACAAGTTGTTGGATCTACTTTGAGGAGGCATTTGCTAGATGTAAGAGGGATCACAAAACCGGGATATTTCCCAATGCACAGCAGGTTTTTAGTATTCCAGTAGCCATATTCAAATACCATGACAAACATTATCAATTGAGCTTCGTTCATCTAGATGAATTGATTAGGTATTCACATGCATCCAATAATTGGTTCCTGTTCCTGGTTCCTGGTGGCGGCTGGCGCATCAACGCCACGAGATTGATTTGATTTTTGATCGTTGCTAGCAGATGGACAGATGCAAAGACAAGAATCGCATTCAACGGCCGATCAACGCCATAGAAATAAACTAAACAGTATCGATATCGGCCTCTCGACTTACCAAGCACTGGGCAGCAATTACCAATCCAGTGCAATCCGGCTCTGGAATTCGTCATAGCAACCCCTCGGAAATAAATGGGCGATTTGGACATTGTATTTTAAAGTGGACGGCGGCCACGGGCCAATCACGTGGCGAATGCCGTCATTCATTGTCCCAAAGTTCCAACGCTCGGCAATCTGGGTGGCTGACGGACTTTTTGGCAGTTTGCTGTTTATCTCATCCAATCCCTTCCTCGTCGTTTTCTGGGACCAATTCCTCTCTACGAGCCTCAATCGCTGTTTAGAGACTTGCTAGAATCCAGAATGTTTTCCAGATCAGCTTTCCGTGCGGCTCAGCCGCTGAAGATGGTACGTTTGAAGAGCAGACAAGCTCGATATGCTCGGTCCAAGTCAACCCAAATTGCCGCTGCAGACGGGCTAATTAGACTCAAACCATGTTGCAGCATATGCGCCGCTATGCCACCGAGTCTGGTGCCAAGGGCAGCTCAAACACTCTCCTCTATGGCGCTGGCGCTGTTGGTGTCGCTGGTGCCGCCGCCTACTTCCTCAGCGGCTCCAAGGCCGAGAGCAAGGTCAAGGAGGCCGTTGGCGCTGCTCCCAAGGCGGCCTTTACCGGTGGTGACCAGGGCTGGCTGTCTTTGAAGGTCTCAGAGGTCGAGGATGTGAACCACAACACCAAGAGGCTTCGATTCGAGCTGCCGGAGAAGGACCAAGTTTCTGGTCTGACCATTGCCAGCGCTGTCCTGACCAAGTTCAAGGCTCCCGATGCTGAGAAGGCAACTCTCCGTCCTTATACCCCCGTCAGCGATGAAGGTCAGTCAGGATCTGTCATTTCTTTGCAACGAAAATACTGACAGTAAATCTCGACGAAAGATGACAAGGGCTTCATCGACCTGTTGGTCAAAAAGTACCCCAATGGACCCATGAGCACCCACATCCACGACCTCAAGGTTGGCGAGGAGCTTGCCATCAAGGGCCCTCTTCCCAAGTACCCATGGACCGAGAACAAGCACGACCACATTGCCCTCATCGCTGGTGGCACTGGTATCACCCCCATGTACCAGCTTGTGCGAGCCATCTTCAAAAACCCCAACGACAAGACCAAGGTCACCCTCGTCTTCGGCAACGTCACCAAGGAGGACATTCTGCTCAAGAGCAAGTTTGACGAGCTCGAGAACACTTACCCGCAGCGCTTCCGCGCATTCTACACCTTGGACAAGGCCCCCAAGGACTGGGTCGGTGGCGGCGGCTTCATCACCAAGGACCTGTTGAAGCAGGTTCTCCCCGAGCCCAAGAGCGACAACATCAAGCTCTTTGTTTGCGGCCCCCCTGGGTTGATGAAGGCCATCTCCGGCAACAAGGTTAGCCCCAAGGACCAGGGCGAGCTTACTGGCGCTCTCAAGGACCTTGGCTACACCGCTGAGCAGGTGTACAAGTTCTAGACGGCATTGTTGATGTGATAGAGATAGAGCCTAGGAAGAGACATACACAGGCATCATTTGATCGATAAATAACCAAAAAGAAATAGACCAATTTGCCGTTGGTAGAGAATAGAATCTAGGAACATGAACTACCACAAATTACATAGCTAACAATGACAAGGCACAAAACTTCCTTTCAAGTCATGAATTCGTCTGATCTGATCAAAAAAAATACTCCGAATCTCATGAACGGGCAGCCACAGGGCGTTAACCTCCCGCCCTCCCCCTTACACAAGGGAGAGAGCTCGGGAAGGGGGACCCAACACACGGAAGCACAAAAGACGGTTGTTTGCCTAATGCGCGAGACGAGATGAATGGATCTACGTGTTTCTGTGTCTCCGCCGGCTTGCCGATATGCGTTTGTTCTCTCTATGCTGATTTGACCAAAGCAAAAGAGAATGTCTGACCCGAGGCCCTTTTTTGATTACGTAGAGGGGCTGGGTCGGTTAACCCTGTGTGACTCAGGGCGATGCGAGACATGCAGCAATCACGGGTGTGGTTATATCTGAGGCGCCTCTCTCTCTCTTTGCATTCTGTCGTGCCCTTGTTTTTAAAAGTCTTCCTTGGCATCCCCTTTGTGGCCACGCCTTTCTTTCTTTCATCTTCTTCTTTTGGATCCATCAGACTTGGCCGCTAGGATAATTCTCTACGTGAAGAAGGATATCTATTTTTGACATTCGTCATGACGGCTTCCGAGCGCCCGCGTGGCCAGGAGCATATCCCGGACTACCCCAAGGCCTGGATATGGATGCGCCTATTCCAAATCATCACCAGCCTCGTCGTTCTCTTCCTCTCCATCCACACCCTAGAAGAATTCCACGTCCCGACCGGTCTCCAGGTCGTCATGATTGTCATAGTAAAAAAGCTTCCACAGTTTTCATCACTTGGTTCTCTGCAGACCTCTAACGCCTCAAATTTCCCATAGTCTGCTTCCACCGTCGGCGTTGCTATCCTGCTCATCATCGCCCAATTCGCTTCGCCCCCAATGTTCAGATGGTGGACGCCTCTCATCTCAGACTGCGCAGTCTTCGTTGCCTGGGCCGTCTCTGCTCCGCTCTTGATTGAGCAGACGTCTGATCTTGTGGCCAAGCGAGGCACCGTTCACGGGAGTGGCGAGAATCCTGTTGGACACCGACATGATGGCTCGAACCCTATCCCGACGAACCACGTCGATACTCTTTATGCTATAGGCGCAATGGGATGTCTAGAGATGTAAGTTTTGCCCGACTATGCCCGGCGCAAATCCCTTCCGGCAGCTGCGTATATGGGTTTGAGATGCTAACGTGTACATCATAATAAAAATTAGTGCTCTCTTCTTTTTGTCCTGGGTCGTTGACTCCATCGTCATTAACCGTCACCGCAAAGCTGGTCTCCCTTGCCAGCCACTCAAAAAAAGGGGTTCCTTTGCTGAGGGACCTCAAGCCAGATCAATGAAGGTTTCGCCCCCCACGAAGCCTCGAGCCAAGAAGCAACGTAAGGGCCTGGCCAAGGTATTCGGCTTCGTATCAGACGGTGGTGCGGGGGGAGGCGGAGGAAGATACGATGGTGGAGGATGTGACGGCGGCGGCGGAGGTGGTGGTAGTGGTGGGTGTGACGGCGGCTGATGTGGTTAATCATCCTCGCTACTGGTGAGACACACGGTTTGTTCATGGGTCGAACAAGCAAATGGCTAGTTAACTGGGTTCCAATGCTCCAAATAAGTCGGATGGAAGAGAATTCGCAATCGCAAACAGCACTACTTCTTGGTACAACAATAGTACTATTATACACAACATGGACAATATTCACACCATACGATATCCTTTCCCCACATACTATGAGGACTGATTTCCCCTTTATGCTTTCAAAAATGAGAGATCTTTACTGAATGCTCTTCGTGGCCTTGTCAACGGCATGCTTGATGATGCCGGCCCACTTGAGCCCGTTGCTGTAGTTCTTGGCGTCAATGCTTTCCACGAGGCCGGGATACACAGCTGTAGAAACATGATCAGTATTCTGTCAAAAGAACGAATGAAAGAAAAGGGAGTAATTGTAAGAGATAAGAAAAAGACAAAATACGCACCACCGGCATAGCCCGTCCACAGGCCTGGGGCATACACAACATGCTTGAACCAACTGCGGTTGTCGAGACCACCCTCGAACACAAACTGTCGCTCAATATACTTGTACTGGCGGTTAGTCTTGATGATTGCCAAGGCAAGTCTGGTCTTGCCAATGACGTTCCACCATGGGAAACCCTTCTCGAGCCGCTCCTTTGCCCAGGCGGCGCGTTCATCCAGCTTGACTGCCTTTTCTCTGAATTCGGCAATTGACCGTCTGATCTTCTTCAGGCTTTCTTCGAAGGCATCTTGGCTTCCAATCACCTCCTCAGATGTAACACTGCCTCTAACCGCGAAGATTTCGGCATCGGTGGCGGTCAATTCGACATCAGTAGATTGGATCTTGGCCTCAACCTGGTCGAGGTAGCCATCCAGAGCATCTGCGTACTCGGTCGCTCCAAATGGAATGATGACTTTATCGGAGAGCTCGCTAATCAGTATGCCCAGGACCTGAGCCATAGTTCTGTGATAGACGAAGCCCGGGTCGGCAAACTCGCTCATCCAGTGGAAGCTGTCGTAGTTGCTGTGGTAATGATACACAGGGCCACTGCCGTTCCCGCCGAATCCCAGATCAACACTGGGAATGCCGGCATAATCCTGGAAGGCAGTAAAGTCGCTTCCAGAGCCCATTGTGCTGATCTTACCATCCCAGACGTCTCCCACACTCTGACCTGGAACGCTCTGGTCGGGCGATGGAACCAAGTTGGTCGCATCTCGAAGAACTTGGTTCAGAAGGGGTGCTGCCGAAGCAGAGAACTGCGGTCCAGAGGCGCCGCCGTCAACGTTGACGTATGCCACGTTGGCGTCAGAAATCCAGGGAAGATACTCCTCAACCCACTCCGTGCTTCCAACCAGACCATACTCCTCTCCATCCCAGCTAGCAAAGACAATGGTTCGAAGAGGCTTCCAGCCTGCTTCCAAAGCCTTTCCAATACTTCGAACAGCTTCATTCAGGACAGCCGAGCCGCTGTTGGGGTCAGAGGCACCACCGACAATCCAAGCGTCTCTGTGGTTGCCGACGATGATGACTTCGTTGGGGATAGTGCCGTTGATGATGCCAATGACGTCCCATTGAGGGGTGGTGACATAGTCTTGCTCGTTGTTGAGGTTGATGACAACATCTTCGGGTGAGGGGCCAATGTTGTATTTGACGCCCTTGTATCCCAAGCCGAGGTTCCTGGTCCAATGCTTGTTCAGATCGCTGGCTTGAGGGCCATGGCCATTCAGAGCCTTGAGAAGCGGAATGGCATCGGCGTATGAGATGGGGATGGAGGGGATTGATGGAGTCGTCTCATCGGCTGGAGCGCGAGGAACGCCGGGCTTGGAAGGGTAGCCAGGGGTTGTTCTGTAAGCCATATTAGTCTCAGCGGATGGGATGAGGACATTGATCTTGCTCACGGGTCACCTGGGCGGGAGCTCAAAAACTGAACACTTCCGCGCTGTACGCTACTGGGGTTACGAGCAGGGCCTTCAGGATAGGCAGCGTAACCGTTTTCTTCGGTAATCTCACCATCATCACCTGGGTCGGTGTAGATGAGGATACCAATCGCGCCGAGCTCTTGGGCACGCTTCACCTTGAGGCCTCTGAAGATGCCTCCATACTTGGCAATGGCAATCTTTCCCTTGAGGTCGATGCCGGCACCAACCAGGTCCTCGTAGTCTCGGTACGTTCCGTAATTGACATAGACAAAAGAACCAGTGACATTGCCGCTGGCAGAGTAACCGTGGAAAGTCGGGATCTTGTCCTTGGCAGATGTGGTCGGGTCTTCTTCAAGCACATCTTCCGTCAGAGACGCCTTGAATGCAACGTTCCAGGACTTGGCATCGCTCGACTTTTGCAGCAACGAGACGCTGTGGTCAACGGGATAGTTGATATAGACGTCGTAGGCGACTATGCTTGAGCTGACGCCCCATTCCTCCCACCTATCCTTGGTCCATTCGGCCTGTGGTCACAGGTTTAGTATGCTTGCAGAGTTTCAAATGTTGTACGCTAATATCATGCACACAAACATGTGCTCTCGTCTTACCTGTGAATAGTTTTTACCAGCAAGGTGCGCTCCAGCGGTGTAATAGCGGCTCCATTCCTCGGCCTTTTCGCCAGATGGTGTGCCGAGCAGGATGTCTTGCAGATCCTCGTGCGTGAGGTGCTTATGCTCATGGCCGTAATGCGGATGGCGGTGGCGATGCTCCAGTCCAGAAGGCCAAATGTACAGCGCGTGAAGGGCAAAGGAGGCAAAGCCACAGAGCAGCAGGCTGACACTGGCAATTGTGCAGAAGCGGCGACAGGTGTGGTGATGGTATCTCCGACGCGTCGGCCCAACTCGCACTGTCTGGATCAACGGAGTCGACTCGTTGGCCATTTTTTCAGGCGCGGCCGACGACCTTGTGAACCCGCAGAGTTAGTGATGTTTTGGGATGTGCAGGATTTCAGGTGGAAAGAATGAACAATTGGGTGATGAATCAAATTCATTTGCGGCATGTTTGTTTGTGTAACGGCTTTGAAGTGTTGGATTTGGATGAGACGCGGGGCGGTGTTGCGTAAGGCTCGCCTTGATTCGCTACGCCACATGATGTTAAATGGCTTGGGGGGGGTGTGACCAAGTGGCGAGGCAGATGATTTGACTGTTTGGTTGACTGAGGGAGAAGAGAGGAGGCAGCAAGCAAGACATTAAATCAATGGCACTTACACCTTGCCCATGGTTTTCAATTTCCAGTCCAAGGCTCAGCTCGGGGCTCACGGGGCATCTGCGCGATGAGATGAGGAGAGAGGAAGAAGGAAAGAAGGGAGAAAAGAGACACGCAAGGGGGGAGAAGGAGATGGACGAGACGATCACTGTGCCGTCTCTGTTCCTCTGTACATTACAAAGCCAAAGCTGCCTCCAATCTGGAGCTCAAACTGCAGCTGCAGGCCTATCGCAGCACTGGGCGGGATCTGGATGGAGTCATTTTGCCGGGCTATCTTATCGCCAAGTTGACGCAAAGGTTCCTGAGAGCACGCAACGACGTCACGCTATTACGAGGCGCTATGAGCTCTCCTGCCTGATTTTGCCGGGGGAGATGTGGGGAGCTGTTTGTTTTTCCTTTAGGTAAGATTTGCCGGGGATGTTGATTTGATTCAACCGCCTCACGATATCTGCCTCTGCTGTATCGACATCAAAACACCAAGGAAGCAGTATCTACGTGTGTATAAGTGACGACGAGCGCAGACTACGTACGAAGAGAGATTGGGGCCTTTACGGGTCATGAGCAGGCAACGTTGTTATGCTATTTGCTATGTACTTGTTCGCCAAGTTTTTGCTTCGTGGGAATGGCGCGGGCATACTGGGATTATCAAACTAGTGCCCGTCTTCACACACACACCTTGTCTCTCATCGCCTCTCTCTCTCCCGCCGCTTATACTTGTAGGCATCCAACGGGCGGATCACGTTCAGCCGGTTTACAACAGCAGCCAAGACAAATGCGACATGCCGCCTCCGGTCCTCTTCTCCCCTCGGTTTTGGTTCTTCACCTTGACCGGAGAACATCCCCCCCTGTTCCGCTCTCGTGGGCTTGGCGGGCCTAGCAGGCCTTGTTCTGGTTAGCTGCGTCAAGTTCGATGGCGAGCATCACAAATCCGGCCTCTGCTCCACCTCCAGGGCGCGCTTAACAGAGCAGCGAATCGGCCATTAACTCACCATCGGGGAGCACACGCGGGGCCGCCCGCAAGGACTCGAGGGAGACATCGTGCCTCAGCTGCAAAGTGTCGGTCTGAGCTTTGGCCCATCCATCTCAAGGCCTCCAGGGCGAGCCGTTGAGACATGGCGTCCACACCAACCGCTACGGCTACGGGGATCCTCTCCGCTGTCGGACGCATTCCAGTCATGAGACTCGTTTCTTCATCACAAAGTGACAGCATCAAACAGTCAGCTCTGTGAAGCCGTGGATGCTGGGGTAGGGATCGGTGTCTGCGATCGCCCGTGGGTTGCCCGGATCAGGCTCCCCAGTCCAATCACGCCGTGGCCTCTGTTGCAGACGGATGAAACGCATCTCGGCTCACCTGCAGCACGCACGGCACCGGAGCCGAGCAAAAAGGAAGAGTCTTGTCACGGAGCTTTACATCCTTTATCCATCACCCACCGAGGGTACATACGAGTACTAGGTAATTCTATATTGTAAGTGGACGTAGATGATGGAGACCATCTCTCTTACTGTACTCCTCCGTACAAGCAAACACTAAACATGGCATGTGAGAAACAAGTACTACTACTGTAGACTTGGATCGTGATTCCATCCCGGGCAAATGCAAATGCAGACGTTTTCATGGAATCGGCTCGTTTCCGAAGAGCCTGTCTAGCGGGCTCCGAAGCACAAGCTGGCCCTTGTCTGGCCCGTATCCAGTGCAGGTTCCTGTTTCTTTAGCGCATCTACCGCCTGTGCAGATGACTAGTTTGGGTGGGGATTCACTAATCCCGGGGTGTGCAGAAGTTGACAAACTTTCTCGCCAATGGCTTTCGTCGTTTTCATGACTTCAACCTTTCACGTTCTCTCTCTGGCTTTAGACGTTGGCTCTGCGCTGTTTCTAGGCCGTGAGCATTCATTTTTTGCATTGTCGTTACAGCTTGACTGAAAGTTCTTCGTCTGGCGTGTTAGAGTCATGCTTTTCTAGCTTTGAGGCTCCATCTCCTTCACTCCATAATTTGCCCATCTGCATCTGCGTCCGTCTTACTTTGGTTACATGGACAGACTCTGATCGCTCGTTTCCCGCGCAATCTCTCATCTGATTGCTCATTTCTAGCAGAATCTGCATAAAAACGTAACAAGGCCGCAACAATGACAAGAGATTCGAAACCAAAGCCGAAGCTGCCTGTGCAGCAGCTGGCAATTCTAGGTAAGCATCCCTGGGGGTGTCGAGATGGACAAGCCGATGGTCAAAGAGACATACAAGCCGCCTTATTTGTCTTATCTGGTGCATCGTGGCTGCAAATTCAGCGAATAATGAATACAATTCATTGTGCTAACTGCTTGAAATCCAGCCGTCGCCAGATTTGCAGAGCCTTTGGCCTACACCTCCGTCTGGCCCTATCTCCCTGAGATGATCCGGGGTTTCGGTGTCAAGCGTGACCAAGTGGCAAAATGGGCCGGTGTCACATCCTCCGTCTTCTCCGTCTGTCAAAGTATCACAGCCGTCCCATGGGGCAAGGCTTCAGACAAGTTTGGCAGAAAGCCTGTGCTCATCTATGGACTCATCAGCACCATGATTTGCTTCATCATATGGGGCTTGTCAACGAGTCTCACCATGGCCATTACTGTTAGAGCAATCATGGGCGGTGGCAACGGCAATGGTTAGTTTTATATCTCTTGCTTAATCTCTCGTCTTTTTCCAAATTGAAGCGCTGACATGTGGTGTTTCTTCCCCTACGTATAGTTGGCATCATTAGAACGATGGTGGCTGAAATGGTCACTGAAAAGGAGCTCCAGCCGAGAGCCTTCTCCATCATGCCTCTGGTCTGGTCTCTTGGATCCGTCGTCGGGCCCGCCTTTGGAGGGTTCTTTGCTCAACCAGCCAAGCAGTTTCCCGGCGTCTTCGGCGACATAGAGCTCTTTAAGAAATTCCCCTACCTTTTACCAAATCTCCTGGCTACTGTTTTCTTCCTCATCTCTGCTGCCAGCGCGACCTTTTTCCTGAAGGAAACGCTGGCCGACAAGAAGGAACACAAGGACTGGGGACTCTTGGTTGGGGAACGCCTCACGCGACTTATTCGCCGGAAGCCGCAGGTCATTTCTCAGCGCCGCATGTCCTTTGTCGACGGAGAGGCTACTGCACCGCTCGTTCCGAGCAGAGTGACGCCCAAGAAAGCCACCACGCCAAAGCATCCCCCTACTGGAATGAAGGAGGTGTTTTCCCGCCAAACCACGATCAATCTGATTTCATACACCTTTTTGGCTTTCCACTCGGTTGCCTATGACCAAAACATCACCGTCTTTTTGGATTACCCCGTCATTCCTCGAACTCCTGAGAATACAAAGTTCCCCTTTTACTTTACTGGTGGCTTTGGACTTAGCTCAGGTACCATTGGAACACTCTTCACCATCTACGGCATTACTTGCGGATTAATCCAGTTCCTTATTTATCCGCCAATGGTTAACCGCTATGGTGTTTTGAACTGCTTCAAAGTAGTTTGTAAGTCTTGCTACAGGCTACCACTTTCTCCCACTGCATTGAATGCTAACTGGATGTAGCTGTCTTGACGCCATTCGTCTACCTCATCACCCCCTACACCTCTCTGCTCCCCACCCCTGCGACGCGGTTTGCCGCCATCCTCACGGTCATGATGATCAAGGCTTTTGCCATCATCATCGCTTTTCCCTCCACGACCATCCTCCTCACCAACTCTGCCACGTCCCTTCGCATCCTTGGCACACTTAACGGGTTTGCCACCATGTTCAGTGGCCTTGGACGAGCTGTCGGCCCTGCCTCCACTGGATGGGCGTTCTCCTGGGGTGTCGAGCACGGTTACATCGTCTCAGCGTACTTCTTCCTGGGCATCATCTCCGCTATTGGTGCCATCCCCGTCTTCATGATCGTGGAAGGACAGGGACCCACAGCGTCGGCGGATAACAGCGACAATGAAGACAATGAAGACAACGCAGTCTTACTCGGAGATGAAAGCCCCGTAGACGACTATGAGGATGCCACAGATGACGAGGCTACTGCAGCATCTCCTCTCCTCGGCAGAAACCGGGGCAGCTCCTACAAAACTACGAGCACCGCAAACAATTAAAAAAAAATGTATTGAAAAATGAACATATATGGCGCATGCATGAACGTGTACGCGCGCTGTCGAGAAAAGACGTACGATGAAGAGAGATTAAAAAAAAGGAGGATGGGATCAACGTGGCAATCGGTTTCTGGGGGGGGGGCGAGGAAGATCCTGCCACACCATACGTGATGGATTTGTTGGACGCTGGATATACACACGTGTTGCACTGGGATTTTGCATCTGCACTGGCGTTGGGGGAAATGATACTCCTGTAGTAAAAATGATATTTCGCTCATGAAACCAAAAACCCTTGACTGCAGAATGATCTGCAAAGATGGGAAAATAGGGGTCCTGTCTTCATGTTGTCTGCGTCTTCGTTGTGTTCCCCCTCTGCTCCTTATGACGTATGAAGTAGACGCTTGCAAATGACCTGTCGGCCTCCATGGATGGATTCCCCCCTCATGCAGGAATCCCAGGCCTAGGAGCTGCATGGAGAGACTAGAGATGCCCGGGATAGCTTAGCACTTGTGTCCTTTCGGCGGCATCTCACCGACTTAACCGAGCCCGTTGTTAACGCTTCACCCGAACGGCACACACAAAGATGACAAGGATTTTCATGGAAATTATATTATTTTTACATTTTATTTATTCTCCCCAAAAACACCCTTTCCGACAGTGTGAATCAGGACAGTAGCCAGTACTGTTCAAAATGCTTGGATGCTACAACAGAGTTATAAGATGTAGATGAAGAAAACAACAACAAAAGATCTATACACATATCCTTTTAGACAGGCAAAAAAAGCAACAACGAAAACAAGATTTCATATCGTTCACACCATTTTTTATACAAAAAAACCAAAACCAAAAACAAAAAACTCCAGTATCTTTCTCCCAGGGTCTACTATCATGTCATGTTTTTCTTTTCTCGTCTTTTTTTTCAGTCCGGATGAACAAAGGAAAAATATATCATAGTGTCGTCTGTACGCGTGAACACACGCCAGGGTGGATATCAAATATATGTATATCGTAATAAAAAAAAAACAATACAACAAATAAAAAACACACGTCAAAAAACAGATAAACTGGTGTTTCGTGAGGGTCATTAGTAATGATATGAAGGGAGTACATGGGCCGGGAATCCCTCTCTGTCGTGCCACTCCCACTCGTCGTGGTTGGAGGGATATCGTGTATAAGGCTGAGGTGCTTCGATGGTGCGGTAGTCTTGAGCCTCAGCGTGGTGCCACTCGGTGCTGGGCCATACCGTGTCGGAGGTGTTGCCGCCGTTGTTATTGTTACTGTTGTTATAATAATGATAATTGTTCATATGGGCCGGGCCATCATCCAGGCTGGCGTAACCAGTCATGGCGGGAGGATGGTCCTCGTGGATGAAGCGCTCAAGGTCGGCCTCCATGTCACGCAGCCGCAAATGTTCTTTCCCAACCCATTCATCGATGATCTCGGCAATCTGACGGAAGCCCTCTGTATGGCCGCCTTGGTGTCGCGCTGTGATGCCACAAACGATGAAGAGAAAGCTGTGAATCATCTCGTGTAAGAAGGTGGAAATGAGAAGCCGGCGGTTGTATTTAGTGTCTTTGAGAATTGGCGACGATAGCACAATGAGCGTCTCATAGCCACCCAGACGAACGCTGCGGCGTAGGGCGGTAGTACCGACGATGTGGCTCTCGTATTGTGCGCTGGCAGGATGGCTCCAGTCCCAAGTGACCCTCTGGGTCAACTTGTTGGCGAAGAAGAGTTCGTTGGCGGCCGAGAAAATGCTCCGGAGGGCGTCGTTGTCCAAGGGGAAGTCGGCCTCCCTGGACTTGGGGTTGATGAGGGCCTTGAGGATGCGGCCGTGCTGCGAGTCGCGATGCCTCCACCGGCGAATGTTGGCAACATGGCGCCGCACCAGCCGGGCAGCGGCAAGATCGCTCAGCAGCGGTGGGTGATGGTGATGGTCACAGTCACCCTCTTGGTCACAGGGGGGCTCGACGGCAGACGTGTCCGACGAGATGGACAGGCCGGACTGGGTGCGTTCCATGGGAGCAGAAGCAGACATAAAGGACGGGCCGAGATGCGGCGGCGGCGGAGGGAACCCGGCTCGGTGGTCCGACTGTGGGGGCGGCGTCGGGGGCGGAGACGGCTCATGCTCCCGGATCACGAGAAAGGCGAGGTTCTTGACGTGGATGGAGGAGGCATCGGGCATGGCAGCGTCGCCGGAACGCTTGTGCTCGCAGCCGGCGGCGTGATGGCCCTTGCCATGGTAGCCGATGACGCGGCCCCAGTCGTCCAGCCGCGGCCTCTTGGTGATGCCGTAACAGCCCGCATTGCTGCAGGCAGACGCGGTTCCGTCTGCATACTCGTAGCCCCTTCGCTTGCCATTGGAACCGAGAGCCTCAGAGCCGTTGGAGTAGCTGCCGCGCTTGATGTAAGCCGCCACCTGGCCAGCGGTGGACGAGGCGGCAGCGTCACCAAGCGGATTTCCCCCGCCTACCACCCAGAAGGCCATCGGACAGCATAAGCTCCAGTCCACCAGATGGCAAAGTATTGGCTGATGTGGTCGGAGCCTGTTGGTGATGAGGCGATTTGCTCCGCTGGACAGCCGGCGCGATGCAAGATGCTGCTTCGTTTCGTGTCAACCCTCTTTCTTTGTTTCACTCGACGTCTCTTTAGGGGGCTTCTTTCTTTGTCTCTTGTGCTGAATGGGAGGGCAGTTGAGTGGGCTCTGGTGGGAATTGGAGGTTGGACGGGAACGAGTTTGTGAGTTGGCAAGTCTGAGTTGGCCTCGCAAAAGGTGGCACCAGAAACAAACCGCCGTCGGTGTGGACGCAACAAGGGAGGGACTGGGGGGGTAAGATGAATACCTCAAGTACAGCCTGGAATTCACCTCCCGGCTGCCATTAAGAACTGCCGAGGGAGAGATTGAAGGCAGAAACCGCCAAAGGGGCAAATGGAAAAGAAGAAGAGGAAGAGAAAGAGAAGGGAGAGAAAAAAAAGAGAAAAAAAGCGGTTAACCAGAAATGCTCTACAATGCTGAGAAAGCGAGAGGCGCAGGGGGGGGAAGCAGAAAAAAAAAGTGTGACAGGGAATCGCCAGTCATGCAGCAAGCTGCGAAGGGGTCCTGGGTCTTGTGTCGAGGCGACTGCACGCCAAAGCCAGCCGGGGACGGACACGACTTGATCATCGCCTCGCTGGCTCTTTTATGCCAGCCAGCGTGGACAGGCGTGATATGCGGGTTTGTGCGTGTGCGTGTGGTAAAACGACTATGTGCGCATGAGTGTGTGGCGTGGCGTGCGTGAGTGCGTCTTGGTCTGGTCTGGTCTGTCGAGGGGGTAGGTATGTAATATTACGGAATGGATATTAATTGCGAGAAAGGCGGATGATGATGATGCAATCGCTGCCTCTTTTGCTTGTTCTGCAGCTCGGGACGGGCATTGATTGATTTTGATTGTCCAAGTGATTTGATTGATTGATTGATTGATTGATTGATTGAATGGGGGTGGGGAATTGAAGATGTAGAGACAGAGAGAGCAGAGAGGAATGGAGGGAGAAAAGAGGGAGACGAGACGGGACGAGACGAGACGAGAGACGCCCAACTGTTCATCTTCATGTTCATGTACGATGTCTGTCTTCGCAGTTGAGTTGGCACCAATACGAGGCCAAGAGCCCATCAGCTCGCGGGACTCGGAGGTTTCTGTTCTGCCAATAATCAACTTCTATTTACGAGTACTACTGCCATATTACCGGTCTGAAGAATCAATCACTTCTCGCTCGACGCTGGCTGGCTCATCGAATTCTCTTACCACACACCTCCTACTCCTGCTACTGCTGCTAATATACACCTACTAATAGAATCAAATCCAATGCCTGTTCCCTCTGCGCCCCCACACTGGGACGATCAGTGAGGCATGGCCAAATCATCCGATCCAGGGCTGTCCGGCCTAGCTCGCGATGCTCGTCCTCTAACACGGCCGGAGATTCAAACCGCACTCCCACGCCATTGGATGCTTCATGCTTCTTCTCATGCTTGCTCTGAACCGAGCATTGACTAACTGGCACGATAACTCTCCGTGCAACTCTCCGTCGCCTCTCGCTGTGACCCTCTCGCTCTCTCTCTCTCTCTCCATCTCCTCTTTCGTCTTCTCATCCTATCATCATTATCAAATCTCATCCTTCATACAGTACATACTCACCCCCTCTCTCTTCTTCTGTCATCTTTGATTCCCTCCCCCCTCCTCGCTGGCAACTCTCCCGCTATCCTGTCCTCGCCGAGACTCACCGGATGGCTCCTCTTGCCCCTCCTCCTCCCCTCATCTGCTCTGATCCCTGCAGCTTCTCTCTCTCTCGAGAGAGAGAGAAAAAACATCCCCGTCCCAAAGGGCCCGCTGCTGGTACAATCCACGCCCTGTGGACAGACGCCCATTGGGCCGTCCAGCGGTGTATGCAGCATGCAGCATGCAGCATGCACCAGACATGCGCCCAGGTTCCAGGCCTCTGTGCGGCGATTTCTGAGAACAGCACAGCGACCGACCGTTTTTATCGCTTCATTTTCTGGACTGATGGAGTCTCTGGAGGGCGCTGCCCATGCCCATGGCGTCTCTGAAATCCGGAACCCGGATGCTTGGCAGAGCCAGCTAAAATAAGCCGTGTCATTTCTGCTTTTTGCTATACCGAGTAATAGTTGAGATCTCTATCTAAAGATTTACTGGATACGAGGCTCGCTCCAGTCATCTGCCACTACCAGTGTTTGCAAACTCTCTGCTCACGTCTGTGTAGGCGATTCGACTACATACTACGAATGCATGAAGCCATCCGGATGCCCGTGATTACATGTACCCTGATGGGTGCGAGACGAGGTCGAGAGAAAGATGGTGGTGAGGCACAAGCAGGCAGTGAGCCGCCTCCCTACCTAAGGTAGGACGACTACCGCAACACCAAGGTTCCATCTTCTGCACGAGCAACTGACGAGCAGAAACGACGCACATACAAAAAAAAAAGCACATAATGCGTTACTCCCACAACCT